CGCTATCCGAAACCCGACCAAATCCAAATCTTGGAAAGCTTAACCACGCAACGCCGCGTGTCACTGGACGACGTCTCCTGTCAAGCTCGCCAAATACGCATGATACCCCGGAAAAGCGGCACACCTGTAACCAGCAAGGGGAATGGGAGCGCGAATGAGTTTACGTAGCACAAGGCTACTGTGGAGGAGCAAGTGGGCGGCACCAGGCACAGGCTCAGGCTGGCAACCTGTCGCGTGCGCGTCATGAAGCCTTTTGACTCCCCTCCCGCACGCTGTGACCCCATGGTTGGCCCCCATTGCGCTTCTCTTATCTTCTCTGTCCCGCCTGCGGTTGCTTCTTCTTCACTGACGTTATACGCGCCTTCCCTGCCCCACGGCTGCCGATCGCTGAACTCTGAGCACGCGATCACCTTCCCGAAACGCTGCGCTTACCTTTGTTCGGTTCTACCTTGGAGTTTTGGACGATCATAATAAGATCATACGGCAAGTGTTCGATACTGTTGGCGCCCTTTCGTCTCGTTGTCTTTGAGACGGTATACCTATCTGGATTGGAAGCCTGAAGTGGAGTCCTCGCCTCAGCCATGCGGTTACTGAAATGCGCTACCGCCTTTGCAACCGCGACACTCTTCGCCTCTTCACTAGCCACACCGACGCCACTCAACCGACATCAAGGAGGAGACAACTTGGCCGATCGTATTGAAAGCAGGAAAGGTAAGAAGAAGCCTGATACCAAGTACTTTCATGAGCCCGGGTAAGTCATCATAGCCTTGCAACTCGCGATGTCATTGCAGCCTGTAGCATGTTCGCTAACGCCCCTCTAGAGGCAGTATTACGCTCGGCCACTATGACAAGCGCTTTTTCAAGGGTGTCGTCTCCGACGAAGAGCGAACGGATACGCAATCGCACATGGTCCGCGCTTACCTGAACTTCTTCCGCGAAAACGAACTCGACACCTGGATAGCACACGGGACATTGCTCGGTTGGTGGTGGAATGGAAAGGTGAGTCTTGCCCCCAACTGTTTGCGATACTTGCTAACGCCTCTGCAGCGTCTTCCATGGGACTTCGATCTCGACACTCAGGTGTCCGACAGCACACTCCAACACCTCGGTGCGGTACACAACCAGACGAGATACCACTACACTTCCTACGACGGCGCCGTCCAGCGCGAATACCTCCTCGATGTCAACCCGTGGATCTGGGAGCGCGAGCGTGGCGATGGCATGAACATTATCGATGCGCGATGGATCGATCTGCGAAACGGCCTGTTCATTGACATCACCGGATTGAGCGAGACACATCCAGACAAGAACCCGGGGCAGTGGGTTTGCAAGAACTACCACCGGTACGACACATCGGAGCTGTATCCCATGCGGGAGACCATGTTCGAGGGCGTCCCGGCGAAGGTGCCGTACAACTACGACAAGATACTCGTGGACGAGTACAAGGAGAAGGCCCTGATAGAGACCAACTTCCATGGGTAAGTGGAGTCACTTTCATGCATGGGCAAGTCATGACTAACGACGCGTAGACACCGCTGGGATCCTGATGTCAAAGAATGGGTCAAGAATGAGGAGACACTAAAGAAGGAGGAGGAAGAGCGCAAGAAGAAGGAAGAAGAGGAGAAGAAGAAGGTGGAGGAAGAGTCAAAACTGGATTAGTATTCCAGCTGGCCGTAATGCAGGTGGTGTCGATGGCTTATACTGGGTTATAGCCCAGGCATTGCCAGCGTATGTTTCTAGTACACGCGTTATTGATACCCGGCGACGTTGAATTTAAGTAGCAGATGTAACGATTATTGATCAGTGAGCACGGGAACAAGCGAGTGAGGTTCCCTGGTTACCAAGATCTGCGAGTGTGGCAGTGTGCTCAACGGCCCGATGGCGATGGTGGTGAATAGTCAACAGCATGGTGAACATCGGAGTTTAGTGATGACAAATTCCGATGGCGACCCCGTCATCTCGTGGAAGCCTTGCAGAACGTCACCGAAATAACGCATGGCTAGAGCTCGGCCACATGCTGCGAAGCTTTATATCTTAATCACCACTAACCTCATCACTTACTCCATATACTAGATCGCGCCTAGACAACGTCCAACCCTCCCACCGCCCGAACATCCTCTCGCCACCACCTACAGCGCTTCCACGATGACAGAAGCCGACACCACATCTGCGCCTCCACCCTCTAGCTCCGACATCGAAATAACCCTCACTCACCACGGCAAAGCAATTACACTATCCTTCGCCCAAGATGCCACAATCTCCGACCTCTCCGAACGCGTCGCAAACGACTTGTCAATACCGCCGTCCAACCAAAAGTTCCTCGTAGGCGGGAAGATCGGACTCCAAAAGCCACCCTTTAAGAACGCCTCACTACCACTCGCCGAGCTCGTCGGCAAGAAAATAACCCTCATGGGCAGCACAACCGAAGCCGTCTCCTCCCTCAACAGCACCATATCCGCCGCATCAGCGCCCCGGCGCCCCGGCCCCATCAAAGCCGCCCTGCCAGCGCGCAACCGCGATCACAAGAAGATACAAGAGGAGGCGCAATACACGTTCCATACACTACGGCCGCTGCCGTATCTACCAAATCCAGATCGCTCCTTACGGTTCCTCCAACGGCTGAGAGACGACGCGGGGATCAAAGCAGCAATGCGCACGCACAAGTTTAGTGTCCCGCTGCTTACGGAGATGGATCCAGCCATGCACACTACAATGGAGAGTCGCACACTGGGCCTCAACCGCAACCAAGGCGAGGTCATCGAGTTGCGGCTTCGCACAGATGCCTACGACGGGTATCGCGATTACAAGACGATAAGGAACACGCTGTGCCATGAGCTGGCGCATAATGTCTGGGGCCCTCACGACCGCAACTTTTGGAACTTGTGCAAGCAAATTGAACGCGAGGTTGCGAGGGATGATTGGAAGAGCGGCGGGAGGAGTGTGGGGAACGATGAGTTTTATAATCCAGGGGATGAGGGGGCGGAGGAGGTGCATGATCATGGGGGGTGGACTGGGGGTGAGTTCACGCTGGGGAGTGGTGGGAAGAATACGGGGGAGACGTTTATGAGTAGTGCGACGGATGGGTTGAGTAGGAGGGAGGTGCTGGCTAAGGCTGCGGAGGAAAGGTTTAAGAAGACGAAGGAGGTGGAGAAGAAGGCGGAGGAGGGGACTGGTGGGAGTGGAAGTAGTGGAGCTTGATTGTTGTACAGCGAGCGTGAGGGCAGTCGATGTGCGCGTATACCCTTTTGATTGCGCATTTGTACTTGTGAGTAGAAGAGGCTGTATGCATCGTCCTTCCACTTCTTGTATTGCATTGTTACGTCTTTACATGTCAATATCGTAACACCAAGATTTAGTGATTTCGAGTCTTGAGGGTTTGTATTGTTTCACACAGCCAATGGCGCACCCAGGAGGGCTGAAATGCAGATCCACGACTTCGGATAGGAGGAAGCTACAAGCTTTGTTTACCCCATCTTTACCCCAACTTTTAGCGCTGCCGCCAGCAGGTGCAGCCGATGACCTCCGCTTTTGCGTTGACATCCCACTCTCCTTTCTCTTGACAACACATAGGTATGCTTTGATCGTGAAGCTTCCTCCTACCTTTGGTTCCAACCGTCCAGCCTCAACTACCCGTCTACCCAATCGCCGTCTACTCCCCACCACCTATCACCCACCACCTGTCACCCACCATCTGTCACCCACCGCCCTCGCACGATGTACTTCGTCATCTTCGCCCTCCTCATCGCCGCAGCCTGGGCGACCGTTGGTGTCTTGCTTGCGAAATGGCTTAAACAATCTGGTCATGCGAGGCCGTTCAAAGGACGGAACTGGGATAGTCGCGAGCTTTATGGCGGTGGCTCGGGATATGGGCGCGATATTGGGCTTGGGGGACCGTCGAGTCAAGGGAGGGGGCAGGGTGGCAGGGAGAGGGGCGTTGGGGTTCCGCTGACGGGGGTGGGGAGGGTTAAGGGGTTTTAGGATGGGGATGGGCATGAGGGGATGGGATGGGATGGAGATGGAAAGAGATCAGGAGACGAACAATAAGAAGGGATGGAGATCTTGGGGGCTGAGAAGATAAAAGACGGGTAAGGCACATCGTCTGATCTGGTGACAGTCCATGGCTGACATCCCGCAGACTGACCATCAACGCTTTCGCAATCTACCGACCGCGGTACTGAGGCTTAAACACCCCAGAAGATGAAGCCGAACATCTTCCCATCGCTGGTGGGCTGGCTTTTGCATAGCGTTGGTGTTGTTAGCAGATGGGTCTAGTGGGCCTTCTTGTTCGCCCGCAACCCACCACCTACTTCACGCCGCCATCGCCAGCGCGTGTGTTCGGTGCGGATGGCGAGATTGAGCTTCTATATGCTCAAACTGGCCGCTTCGCCTGAACCCCTAGTTTGAGCATATAGAAACTCAGCATCGCCATCCGCATCGAATGCACGCGGTCTTTCGGCACTGTTCAAATCATTACGTCCTTTGTTCATTGTCTTCTCAGCTTGAACAACGACGCCGCGAGTACATCTTCGTCGCTTGTACAAAGACCGGGAGCGTTCTTGTTTGAAGAGCCTTTCCTTTCTAAACAACGAAATGGGACCTGCGTACTCTGTCCAACTTCACTGTTTGCTCCCACCTTCAAAGTGAAAGTAGTCCAAATGGCAGCTGGAAGGCGATACTACACTTTGGCGTCACAGACCTTGCGCGCCGCGCGATTACCCAAGTCCACGCTAATTACAGACACTACGACTATGTTGCTACCCGGACAGGTTCACATGCCTCGTCCAACACCCCCGCCATATGCGGTCGCAAAGACACTGACCCAGTATCTCTTTGGCGAAACCACACTCCCATCCTTCCTTCAGCGATACGGCGATATCTTATTGGCTATCGCAGGAGGTGCAGCTGCAGCAACGGGCTTATGCTGGTTCTTCCAACATAATAAATGCAACCGCAAAAGGATCCGGCTGGCCGTCTACCATGTTGTTCGCACACTACAAAAGATGCCGAATCTAGAAGAACTTATGAAGACGCCAGAGGAGTTTTACGACGAAATTGACTATGAGGTCAATCGGATGATTGACATCCATCTGACACAATCAGAGTGCGTGATCACTGCGAAGAGGGCTCAGCGTCAACTTGAGGCTGAATACAATGCGAATGTGAGAGATTTAGAGGATGAGAGGAGAGTAAGGAGGAGATTGAATGATGCGGCGAGTGGAGACGTGCCTGAGATCACCGTACAGTCTCCATCTTCTGCAGACCAGTCGGAGGCCAATCTGGTTCCCGAGGAAGAGACAACACAAGAGGATGAGCCGGATATGGGTATGCTCGGCTACCGTCCGACAGCATCACACTTAAGCCCAGTACGAGAGCGGCCCTCGCCCACAGCTCCCGATATCGATTTCAACTTCTCTGACTTCAGGATTCCGTCATCGGCACAGAGTAAGAGAAGTCGCAGAAGCTCATCCAGACTAGGACTCTCTGACGACTATTCCTCTTCACCACCAGCGCGGCCGTCAAATCCGACTCCTCGTCGTGGTCGTGGTGGCCCTTACAGTAGCGACGATACGCCTTCGCCACAACGCCTGGGCCCCATAGACCTTTCTAGTGAAGATCTCCTCTCTAGCGAAAACGAACAGCCAATAGTCCGTCCATCCAATCCCACGCCTCGCCGTGCCCAAGGTTCTACAGATGTACAGGTCGACACGCCACGGCCGAAGACTGCACGCGGGAATAGACGTGATCTTGATCAAGAGAGTCATGATCCCTATACTTCTCCCGCCTCTAGAGACGACACCTCGCCAGTGCAAGAATTATCCCGACGACTAATCACCAGCAAAGCCATCCGTGAGCGTCGCGAAAGAGAACGTGCTTCAAATGCCGTAAAGACAGCCCGGAAGCCTCGTAACACTATCCCACTACAGCAGGCGCCCAGCGCAATGGCTGTAAGAACGCGAGGTGAAGTTCCCGGGCACTGGCTTCCCTCTATACGCGAGGGACTATCTCCGCACGTGAGCCCTGCGGAAGGCACTAAGCAGTATCGCGTTGCGGAGACACGCAAGTTTAACAAACAGCTTCAGGGCGAACGGGACGAGCGCCGCAATTTTCGGAAGCACATACCGCCCATTCGTGAAGAACCGCGTGTGGATGAAGAAAAGGAAGTCGCTGAGGCAGTAGAGGCGCGAGGACAAGAAGCACTTCCTGAGCCCAGTCGAAGTGAGATACCATCCAGACTCGCATCGATCGATCCAGAAGTTGAAGAAGATGATGATAGGGTGCACCTCGAAGACGCATCCAAGTATTCCACGCCAGCAGGACCTATTGTAGCCGCCTCACCAGCGGTCCACCTCGACAACCCATCACCTGCTGCTGCGGCTCAATCCTCTTCGTCGAGATCAAGGCCATCACCTCAGGCAACGACCAAAGGCCAATCGCGACGGTCGGCTGCTCCAAGTCCACCCGAGAGGACTACGAAGAAGGCGGCGGAGGCACCTGCAGCGAAGGCGCCGGCTAAGACACCTGCGAAGACACCTGCGAAGCAAAAGGCTCCACCGACAACCGGGACGCGGAAGAGTGCGAGGGTTGCCAAAAGAACGCAAGTTGCGAAGAAATAAAGGATGGAGCGGCTCAACGGTGGAGGGGTATAGTGAACTGTGCTGACGAGCTGTTTGGATATGTTTGTATACATCACTCAATGTTATGGCATCGCGAGCACACTTATCCCTCGTATGAAACTTCCCTGGTGTGTGTTTTCGACATGTGAATTTATCACACAGCCATGATAAGATGTATACTACACCACGGTATCAGCGATGTGCATGACAGGTCTAACGACAATGTGACGTCATCCATCGTCCTCTCAACCATCTCCATCTTCATCCCTTCCTCGTTCTCACTCATCGCAACCTCAACAATTTCTGATCGTGACCTGCCAGAACTTACGCATATCCCAACAAAACGTTTCGTTAACTACGATAGGGTCGCTAGCAATGGCCCTGCATGGTGGCTGACTGTCAGCTGGTCAAGTGATCGGCATGTTCTACTGATTTTATTCATCACTACCTAAACCATGGATTCAGGCCTTCAATTGAAACCGCATTTTCCAGACTTTCGCGGCCGTGATAGGTCGACCAGCTACCCGTTTTCACAGTCTCGTGCTATGCGCCACACGGCATGGCTGTTGACCGGCGACACTGAATTGTCATCTTCATTCAACAAAAAGATAAATCCTTCGTGATGGTGGAAGTACAAGAATCTCACTGCTGAGCTCACATAATTGTATTATCAACACAGCTTCAAAATTCCAATCATCCTTCCATATTTTCAACCACCAACACCGCCACTCCAAATGGCCAACCCTCAAACCCCCCTCTCCCCCTCCCACTTCCACCGCATAACAAACACTTCCAATCCCTCCAATCCCACCCTCGACATCGTCAACGACCACGGCACCCAAAACAGCACCGGCCTCCTCAAACTAACCCGCGAAGGCTTTTACTCAGGCCAGTACTGGGCTTTCATCCCCTCACCCTCATCCTCAACCCCCAACTCTTACCGCCTCCGCACATGGTGGCTGGGTCCAAACCGGCTCCTCGATGTCTACGCAGACGATACGTCGAAAGCGGTGTTGAGACGGGCGGATGACACGCCGCATGCGCTGGATTGGAAGGTGGGAGAGTGGGGCGATGGGACGTATTGGATTGGAAATGAAGCAAGTGGCGTGCTGAAGGTTATGGATGTTGGTGGGGAGGATGGGAGGAGGGTTGTGTTGAGGGAGAAGGATGAGGGCGCTAAGACGCAGAGGTGGAGGATTGAGGTTATTAGGGAGATTAGTGGGGACGAGTTCTATGATAGACCTGCTACGCCCGGGGAGGGAGAGGGCTGTGTATGAAGATATTGATATGATGTATTCAATCGTGGAATTCGTTTCTATTCGTTCCATCTATATACACATGTTCTTGATGCATGACATCTACGAAGCAGGAGCGGCGGTGCCGTATGGGATCGCCTTGGCGCTCTCAATGTCGACGTAACCGTACTTGCTTCCAGTCTTGTCGTCGGAGAAGCCTTGAGCCCAGGTACCCATGTCCTTCTGGAAAGCCTCGAAGTTCTTCTCGTCGCTGAGGTCGATAGGCTGTTGGTCCTTGCCCAGCTGCCTGATCTGTGTTCCTGCCGCAACGTTGGTGATGCCGAAATCGTTGTCGTCGGTCAACTGGTCGATCGCAGCGTGAACCTCGCCGTTGATGATCTGGCGAGGAAGCTCGGGCTCCTGGGTGACTGGACGAGCGAGACCGACACCGTCAACAGTGTTGAGAGCGTCGACCATGGCGGCGGCGCTCTTGAAGCCACCAGTGACGTAGGTCCTGGTCTTGGAGAGCGAAGGTGTGATCTTCTCAGCGAACTCGAGGAAGAAAGCCTCACGCTTCTTAGTAGACTCGCGCTTGTGGCCGAAAGCAAGCTGCTCGTAGGTACCACCGGAGAGCTCAACAAAGTCGAAGCTGTTGTCTTCAAGCAACTTGCAGAGAGTTGCGGCCTCCTCAGTACCGAAACCTTTGTCTTGGAACTCGACGGAGTTGAGCTTGATGCCAAGGACGAAGTTGGAAGATGTGCGCTTGCGGACTTCCTGACCGATCTCGGTGATGATGCGTGCGCGGTTCTCGAGAGATCCACCGTACTTGTCGGTACGCTTGTTGGTGCTTGGGGCAAGGAATTGTGCGAGCAGGTAGCCGTGGGCTCCGTGAAGCTGGATACCGTCGTAACCGGCCTTCTCAAGGTACTCAGCTGCGTGAGCGAAGCCCTCGATGACGTTCTTGATATCCTCGTCGGTAGCGGCGCGTGGCTTGGCGAAGGTCATGCCCATGACGTTGCCCTCTAATTGTACGTCGGATGCAGAGATGGGGTTCTTTTGGATGCTCTCGGTTACCTGGCGACCTGGGTGGCTGACCTGGCCGACGATCAAAGAGCCGTGCTTCTTTGACTGTGTCGCAAGCTCCTTGAACATCTCAAATCGCTCGCCCTCGTACTTTGAGCCGCGGGGAATGATGGGGTTGCCAGCAGCCTCCAGGTGGTCGTATTCGATCATGATGTTACCGGTGAGGATGACGCCGAACTCGCCCTCGCCCCATCGTCGGTAGACGTTGACGAGGTTCTTGGAAGGAACACCACGAGCTTCGAGGTTCTGAGCATCCCATGATGATAGACGCTCGGTCATAGCACCCTTGAGGAATCGGTTCTGGGCAGTCTTCTTGGAGAAAGCAAAGTCGAGAGGCTTTGCCAAAGGCGCAGGGTCCTTCTTCTCGGCTTCATATCTTCTTGGTGCCATGTTTGCGGAAATGTGGATGGGTATCTAACGAAAAAGGCAAAAGTATAGAGGAATAAGACTGATGTTTGTAAGTTGTGTGCTGTGAGTGAGATGCGAACTTGGCGTGCGATCAATGGCGGTCTATAAGTGTCTCGTTAGTGCTTCATCAGTTTTGCATTTCTAAGCTTTTCCACGAATATGTTGCCAAACAATGACGGACTCGTCCGAGATTGATCCATAGCGACGTCATAGAGGCACGCTATAGGCTAGGGCCCGGCTGCGACACCTCGGCAGATGTAGGCAAAGCACCGTGATCTAGGCGGGCCTCTTGCGGGATGCCAGAAGATCGAGTTAGGCTATATGGTGGAAGAGAGGTTTGTGGGGTTGAAATGTCGCGCTGGAGCAGCGGAGTGCGTGGCGTCATTCTCGCGTTACAAATCGTTCGGGAACCTGGCGAATCGGGCCGACGATGTTGCGGTTGCGTGCTATCACGTGACGGCGAGCTGTCACCTGGGCAGGAACGCCATCGTCCGAGCACAATTCCTATCCAACACCATGCGTTCAGCGAATGCCACGACCATCCATCGATTGCTGAGATCACTTCCGAAGATTTCCAACGCGTGCCTCAAATCGGCAACGCTGTTCCCGCTGCACCAATGAAGGGGTCCGCCAACCGGCCGACTCGCCCTCTCCAAAGAGCACCAGATGATAACCATCTCCAACAGACGAGTCACTGATAGGTCATGGCACCTTCCAATATCGATACTTTGACAATTTTATTGTGTGCGACGAGTGCAGGTGACTAAGATACACAGTGGGTGGCTAAGCTATGTTGGATAGCATCGCCTCTAAATCCCTTCCCTCCCCAAAATGCTCGAAGCGTTTGTTGCTTAAGATACATGCGATCGCCCTTACTCAGCAAGGACGGATAGACCAGTGAAAGGAACTTGCTGGCACTTGTTCTGCTCGGTAATGAAGATCTCGTCGCCAGGCTGGCAGTCGGTGGAAGCGAAAACACGGAGAGACAGGCCCTTGTTGCTGTCGAATGCAACGCTCTTTCCAGTGTTGAAACCCTGGCACTTGTTGTTACCACCCTCGCCGAAGTTCTTGTACTGGCCGGTCTCGCAGTTCTGGAAAAAGAGATACAAGTCAGCGAGCGTCCAAGATGAGAATATCGCCTGCTTGAGGCTCAGACCGGGTTGCAACTTACAGTAACGGAGAAAGCGCTAACTGCGGGAGCAAGAGCGGCAGCAATGGCAATGACGGAGGTAAGAGTGAACTGCATCTTGAAGTTCTGGGAGGAACGGTCAGCTGGAAGCAAAAGCAAGAGATTGACAAGACACACTGTTGGAATTAATGTTCGAGGTTAAAGTTGGAGTGAGTCGCTTGAGGTTTGAGGATCGTGTTGGATGATGAGCTATCGAAGGGACAACAGCCTGATACTTATACCTCCTTCAGGCTCGAGATGCCATGCTGAAAAAGCACAGTTTCGACAATCCAAGACGCATTCACAGCACAAAAGCGAGGCTTACGATCAACGTCTTCAGGCGCCCAACAGTGGGCTCTCTACTCGGGGTTGTTATGCCAGGTTGAAATGACTTAATCTCTGGAAGATGCGCTGTAGGCATCATGGTTCGTCATCCTTGGTTAACACTTTCGCCGCACATGCGATGGTGATTGATGCACGACGGTCGCAACGCTTGGCGATGGTAGGCCTTACACCACCGGTACTTGTTACACCCATGTACACATACCACGATCAGCAAAGCCAAGGAGAACCTGAGCCCCGAAGTTGTTCCAAGCTCGACATAGACGCTCTCTCACCACTCTTTTATAATTACGATCGTCAACAACGAACCCACTCATGGCTACGCCAGCCACGATCCGACGACGACACAGGGCAAGTCTTCAATCCTCACCACTGCGCATCAAAGACGGGCAGGAAGCTTCCACCCGCTGATACAGCGGTGTCGCTTGCCTTAGGCCACCATCTAAGATCAATTCGCTGGGGTAACTTCGGTCTCTCCACCACCAAAATCGTACTTCCACGTTCCTCCCGCAAACTAAGGCGGTACGCAAGTGTGTAGAAGTCTGAGCAGCTTGGCTCCTCATCTTCCTGCTTTGACTTGATACAATCTCCCTGGTCGTTGAAGTAACATGCTTTCTTTCCTTACGACATCTACAAGATATCAAAGCACCCCAATAATACTACGTACGTCAGAACGGAGGACGCGGGATATCGTGGCATGCAATCCTTCGACGGGCCGGTAGCAGGAGTCCGGGGAGCGGACCCACGCGGCCCGCCTGATCTACGTGAAAGAAACGCCGATGCACGCGCATCTACCCATCTACGCGCGTTCTTCAGGGGCCTGTAGAACACTGCACCCCAAAATGGGACATCTTGCGATCGTTCAGATGCTACCAAGCAGTCCATTCTGGGCTCGGTGCTAGTTCGGCCCTCCCATGACGTCGGACTGGCCAGCCCAGATCTTGGCCAGCGACATGGTGTAGTAAGGCGAGCAAGGCATATTTGTAATACAACAGTACATTGTGCAAATTCAATGAGCGTAACGATGAGAACGACGCCCGAGGTTGAGCTGTCTTAATTGCTGGGATTACCCAGCCCTATCTGAAGGATGGTCGAACTATTCATTAGCTGACACATTTCACTGCATTTCTGCCAAGAGCTGGTACCAAAGGCCACCACAATACGCTCTTCCAAAGATCTGCGCCCGCCAGATCGCAGCTTATAGAACGTATACAACAAGATTGAGTAGATTACATCTAACTACCAAGGTACTCAGACCTCTTTCTCACCCCTTTCATCGTTCAAGGGCCGGATTCAAGGAACTCAGAAAGGCGCTCAACAAGCGATACGTAGAGCTCGATAAACGGTAAGCGGTTCTCACGGATCAATCGTTGTCTCGTATCCCGGACAAGGCGTAATAGAGGCAGAGAATCGATTCGAAGGTCAGCGCGGGCCCTCGTGCAGGAATACAGAATACGGCGTAGCTCCCGTGAGTAAGGCGCATCCTCTGAACTTTCGAAATGCTCAGGCAGCATTGCCTTCTCGTCAAGACCGATAGGAGACAGGACATTCTGCACAATACACCACGTTAGTCGGCCGATCTGATACACATCGACGGCTTTGGTGGCACGTTGACCCTCTGGCGGCTCGTATCCAGGGTTCATACGCGGTGTTTCATCTGCCTTTGGATATTCGTCTTGGTTCTTAGTTTCAACTTCCGATTGCCGCATGGCGCAGCCAAAGTCGCCTAACTTAACGATCGGATACTCAGTCTTGCCTCCGGTGCTGGAAGTGAGAAATACGTTAGACAGAATGATGTCGCGGTGATATACGACATCCCAAGAGGCATCTTCTTCAACTTTCAGGCTTTCGTCTCCAGGCTCCTGCTGATCAATCTTTTCGAGCACATTCGGACCATAGTGCAGATACACAGCCGCGTGTACCAGGCTCTCCAAGATGTTCCAAACGAAGAGCTCAGGTACTGGAAGTTTTGCCTCATAGGCATATTTTGCGACGAAGTCAAACAAAGTACCTTTGTTGCAGTACTCCGTAATCATCCATGCCGTATCGTGTATGCTCTTTGGTGCGCTACCATCGAAGAACTTGATAACTTTGTCGTGCTGCAAAGTCCCGAGAATATCGAGCTCTCGCTCAGCAAAGCCAAGGTAATCTCTGGGTAGGGGAAGAGTCTTCATGATCTGTGCGGAACTGTCAGGGTTGTTCTCGTTGTGGACCAAGTAAATACCACGGTTAAAGCTTCCGTTAACGTCTTTCAGCTTCGAGGTGATGCGCCATGTTTCACCAGCTTTATCGCCGGCAACTTTCCCACCAATCGTAAATCGCTCATCTGCTATCGTGGAGGCAAATTTGCTATTCAGCATATCAAGCAGCGTACACATGTCCCTCATCGTCAGCTTTCCAGGGGTGTTGCCATGCCTGGTTTTATAACAGCGGACAAAGAGGCCGAATGCGTGGTGATAGCCTGGGTATCCCTCGGGATCCTCGGGGTAAGTTCGTAGATTCATCTCTTTTATAAACCTTGTGAACGGAGCTCTATCAGGAGGGTAAAACCAGTGGATATCCTTTGAAATACACCAGCGCTTGAACTCGTTGAAGTGGTCTGAGCATTCTGGACCTTCCGGTTCTAGCTCATTGAGCCATAGGGGTGTTGAATGCGGTACCACGCTGTCGTTGCTGACATTCGCCGTTTCAGTTGTACTTGAGCTCTTCGAGGCCATGTTGACAGCCGCAACGCAAGAGCTACGCGATGTATGTCTTTGTCAGATATTAGAGCCGAACTAGTGAGAGAGGAAAAGAAGATCATGGAATACTATATACCGTTACGGTATATATTGCTGCTCCAGATAAGTATCACATCGTGTACCGACAACGTATAACGTTGTGGAAAATCAGGTCATGATTCGCGTACACAACACTGTGCCGCTATGAATCATCTGCATGCCATTAACAAGGTACACTCAGAGGTATGTGCACGGCGTATCTGTCCACTCCGTATATACCTTGATCGTGATGCTGCTGAATTGTCGATAGCATTAATTTCTCGCGAGGAGGCCTTTAGTATCATACGTGTTAACCACGATATGTCAGAGGAAACTTACAAGCGTCGCAACCGAGCCGACAGCGGCACCTTCACATGTAAAGATGAAACCGAAAGTTTCTGCGAAACAATGCTAAGCCTTGCCGACTACCTGATCGAAGAAGACCCCAAACTCGACAAGCCCGATCAGCTTACCCTGCGTTACTTCAGGCGAGTCTACCAGATTCCAGACAATACTAACTACGTGATTACTAGATTCCTGGACCGTACCCAACTAATCGCATCGCCCTCTGATCCTGCCGATGCACCAGGCCTGGCCCATTGTATACAGCTTGTGTCAAATGACGAATCTGGAAGTTGGGCCGGGAACCGGGCCGAGAATGAGCGTACGGTAAGGGACTTACTGCTAGACCGAGCAAACCGAGCATGTAATCGCGACATCTTCGCTGTTGGAAAAGTCGTCGGTGGACGATGGACTATCGAGTCCGAACTGGGAGGTGTTGACGGGACTTTCAATCAAGGTATCCTCTTCGTGCGCGATAATCTCCAAGAAGACATGCGCATCATGAAGGTCTTACCTTCAGAAGCCATGTACCCTGGCTTTCAAGCCCGAGAGATGAACATCCTAAGTCGTCTACATCACCGCAACATCATCACCCTCTACGACGCGCATCTCCCTAGCCCAGTGACCGAACGTCATGCCTCACCCTACCTTGTAACAGAGTACTGCGACAAAGGCACTCTGGCCGATCTGATCAAAAACTGGAACGAGCGCGGCAAACTCATTCCCGAAAGCTTCGTGTGGCAAGTCTTCGAAGCCCTAGTAACAGGCGTCCAATACCTACATCACGGACCCTATCCCTACAACGAGGCGGCCTACGATTGGGATCCCATCACCCACCGCGACATCATCCCATCCAACATCTTTTTGAAGAGCGACCCGCAAGTCAACCCAAGCGACTACCCCATCAGCATCAAACTAGCAGATTTCGGCTGCGCCATCACCGATAGCGAGATGGAAGCTCAAAACTATACCCTTCGTGATCTTCCTCTCGTGGCAGATCAGTTCAGGCCTCCAGAAGGGGCGCAAGCGACTGAAGCGACGGACATGTATCAAGTTGGGTTGGTTATCTCGCTCATGTATTGCATGATGGATAGCCCTTTGAGCGATCTTGCCGAAGCGGGTAACTTATCACGGGACTGTCTTAAGGGCTACAAGGGGTATTCGCCTGAGTTGCGCATGTATATTGAGATGTGTCTTGATGTTGAGGATGATCAACGGCCCGATGCGAACTTCTTCCTGCTGCGCATCCAAAGTGCGCGGAGGTCGTTACGTAGTGCGGGTAGGTTCGATGGGCAAGTCGCGCTTTTTGCGAAAGATTGAGTTTATTTCGGTTACTAAACAGATTAAAGAAGTCCTTGAAGACTGTGACAAGTAAAATCCGTTCTCAATACCCGGAAGCTAGTTGCAAGATCTGGAATAGGGTTGCGTGCATGCAAAGCTGATGTCGATTCAATGATGCTCTTGACATGTTCCTGTTGTTGCGGGGTCGAAAGCGTCGTCGCCGCCGCATTCGGTAACGCGGCTATCGAATCGCCCCTAGCTTACGTAGGTACCTGCCCAAGCAGGAGCCTGACACTTTCTTCTCTACAGCCACTGTATCACACCATCCAATCTCGGAACTTCAACTGCAATTAT